CATTGCTTAATGCGTTTCACAAGCTTGATTAGCTGGAGGCGCTCATCAAGAGAAAAATCGGTTCTATGGTCCGCGGCTGTGGCGAGGTTGTCCCAAGCGTGAAGCCTACGGTGCTGGGCAACAAGCTTTTTGTGCCATGCAAAAGAAACGACTGCATCAATTTCACAGGCGGGAGCGTGATGGGTGTGATCGGTTTGGGCCGAGTTGCGCAGTGAATGGCTTTAGTGGGTTGCGTGGAGCGGGCGGCTCCAGAGGCATTGCGCAACCATTTTTCTGCGGCTGCACTCCAAGCGGCAAACTGCTGCTCCACACGATTGTGGTTACCAAGGTCCTCAGTGTGATTCGGACCTTGGAAGTCCCACGTGTAGTTGGCGTCGACCTTAGAGTCCCATTGAACAATGCTGGGAGCGATGGGCCAAACCCGAGCCGGTGAAGGTACTGCTGGCCATGCAAACTGGCATTCAACAGGAGCATGGCCGGACAAGGGGGCATCTAGACGAGTCTCTACTCGGGCTAAAAAGGCCAGCGCAGCCGAGTTCACCCAAATCTGGTCGATCCTAGTTACCCCTTTGTATGTTTTTGGAGCGGTGCCACCTTCTCTATCAGCGAAGTGTTGGGCACAGTCTACCCAGCCCGCAGAAAACAACTTTTCGCCAATTGACTCATTACTGAGGTCAAGGTTGAAGTCCCCTGCCAACACCAAAGGACCTTGGTGAGCGGTCCAATTGTCGAGGAGGTTCTCAAGGAGTTTCAAAGTAGTTTCCTGGGCATGGGGATTGTAGGCAGTAGCTGCGACTCCATAGAAAGTTACAACCCGTACCTGAATGTGGTCACAAGGCTGTATCATCACGTCAAGGGTGCGGTATGTGTTTGCCCATGGCGGCTGGCCAGGTGTGGTCCAAATCGGGCAAGTTGAAAGTACTCCTACCCCAGCATGCATCGGAGAACTGCGCTGCTCCCCCTTAACAAATGGGACAGGTGGATCCAAAACGTTATGGGAACCACCGGCTCTTGCCGTAGTGGCTATGGCCCTCGCCTTGCCTTCTGTGTGAGCGGTTTCAGCAAGGCAGGTGGTACCTTTGCCAAGCGCAAGAACCTCGTCCAGGTTGGCGTGGAGCGAGGTCGGGTTGACTACTCGGATGAAACTGTTTTCCGTATTCCCATGCAAACTGTGCAACCTCTTATTGCGTGTCTGCTGTAACACACGATCAAAAGCGTTTTGCTGCTGGCAAGCAACGGAAACTGTTCGATGCGACAAGTAATGGGACTTGTCACGACAGGCTTGTTGACAATGTGGCCCACGTTCCCCAAAGGCATGAGGAAAAAGAGGATGTCTGGCCTCACTTTGTTGACCATGCGGTCCTGAGCCGATCCAATGTTTGGCGCAGGGAACGTGCTCGGATTTAACAAGGCTACAGGAGCGGAAAAACTGAAATGGGGGGTCAGAGTGAAAATGCTGATCCCACGCGGATACCTCATCATGACTGAGAGGAGATCTCACATGTGATTGTACTGCTAGTGTGGCCCAGGATTTCTGAGCTGAATCTACAAGACTGATGTGGTACTGAGTCTCCTCGGAAGCAAGGAATGCTGAGGAGAGTCTGGCATGAGTACAAATGACTGGATCCAAAGGTCACTACCTGACTGAGGGTCTATCCACCATTCCCCGGAATAAGGTGGAGTCTCCAATCCCGGACATAGGGATCGAGTCACACACATCAGAAACCAAAATTCATCGGCTAGTGGAAAACTACTGGGCCGACATTCGCCGGCACTGTACGGACCAGGATGCCACCGTCAGGTCTCGGACTGCGACTTAACCCGAACCTTGTGCGCTTGCTCGGAAGAGCCGGCTTGGATGAGGTCCTGGAGCTGCTTGGATTGGGCTTCAAAAGCACTGGTAAGCTTGAGGAGATGCTTGCTGATGTCCGCATTGCCAGAGCTGATATTGATCAACTCCTGTCTGTGCTGGCTGGTTTCATGGCGCAGGGCATCAATGTCCTGCTTGTGACTCTGTGCTGAGTCGGCGACCTTCCCAGTCAATGCCTCAAGTTTGGCCTCAAACCTTTCTCGACAACGGCAAGCTTGTCAGTGAACCTCTGTTCGACATCACAAATGCGGGGCACAGCAGCTTGCGATGGATTTGCGCTCGGCTGGGCAACACCTGGTCCTGTCTGGATGACAACCGGTTGCCTTCCTGTGTCAAACCTGCGCTTTTCGCCAGGGTGCTGCTGCTTCCGCAGCTCCTACTCGCTATGCATGGCGACCTACAGGCTTGAGCGGCCGCGCAGTCCACTTGACTGAAGCAAGGATCTGGCTAATCGTGTCCTGGTCACAACCTGCAGGGACGGGTTGCAAAATGAAGTGCCTTACGATTGGTACGTATCCGTCGCCCTGGGTGGCTTCAGGCACGATCTACAGGCGTAGCTCGACTGCGTCCTTTGCGAGGACTCTGAGTCCGAAGATCTGTGCTTTGCCTGGGTTTTTGACTACGATGCCGCACTGAACCGGATGCGTCTGAGCCTTGGCTTTGGCTTGATCATGCGAGTGGTCAGGTAGCCAGACTACGACCCAGCCCTGACGGGGATTATTCTCAGCTGGGATGTCATCGACAAAGATGAGATTGCAACCCGAGTCCTTCCGGACCTGGTCCCCTACCTGGTCATTTACGCGAATCTTGAAAGTTATCTGAGAGCTTGTGGTTCTGTGCCCCCAGTAATCAAGAAGCATTTTGTGCTGGGTGGAGAGGGTGGGAATCCCGGCGATGGCTGAGCGCACTGGATGGGCTATTCCATTCTTGGCTGGTGTAATGCACACGATGCACAACAATCCGGAAGGCTCTACTTGCTGGTGGCATGACCTGACAAGCATTGGGAGAGGTGAACCTGACAACTTTGGCATCGCCTATTTGAACTAATGTTCCAAGCAAAACGATGCTGCCACCACTATCTTTGAGCTTGGCGGGCAGGCTGCACGTGGCTTTGGGAAAACCTGTGACAACCTGACCTTCTGCCTCAAGCACAAAAAGGGCGAGCGGGTAAGCCGAGAGGTTCTTGGATCCTTGCATGAAGGGAGAAGCTTGCTTGAGCGTGGCAACGCAAACTCCTGTGGCATCTGATACAACCTGAGGCAGCGTGAGGAAGTCGAGCCCTGTTCCCTGCTCGGTTACAAACACATCGCTTTGGCACTGCAGATTGTCAATTTCAAGGCCTTTGGGGCCTGAAGAGTCAATTCCATGCTGGTGGTTCTGGTGAGGGCGCAACCAAGGGTCATTGTGCTGCAACGGATCAATGGCAGTGTTGGGCTTTGGAGCCTCGTTTTTCGCTCTCTTCTGCATTTTGATCTCATCACTGGTGACTAGCCTGAAGGTGGAACCTGCGGCTTCACACAACTGTGACCATCTTTGCTTGGCAGTGGTCTGCTTGAGAGCGGCTTCAACTTGAGCGTTGGAAGCAATCTGGAGCAACCCTTGAATGCGGTCACTGATTGCATGTTCAGGGACCCCCTTGAGGGTGAGAATGCTCTGAAGCTCCTTCGTGGCTTTTGCAGGGAGACCACCTCCTAGCTGGGGCTCAGGAGGATGGCCAGCGGCATACTGCGCACAGAAGGATGTTGCAAGCTGAACACTGGCTCGGACTTCACTGATGCTGGGGTGGTTCCCTTGGGCAATTGCGAGAACAACGGGAAGGCACGGCCCACACTGACCTGCTGCTCTTGAATGTCACACGCAAACTCAAGACTACGCCTGAATCCTATGTGTCTGATTTCCTCAGCAAGGTGCTCACTGTGGCTTGGCTGTCCGGCGTGCCAAATTTGGCAGGACTCGCTTGATGCATATGCAATCCAGCACCAATGGCGACACAGAATCTTGGGGTACCAGAAGAGGTCATCAAACCAGACACCAATGTTCCCCTCATGTTCAACTAGTGGCCCAATAGGGGAAACACGGAGCAATGCAACAATGGTGCATTTACCGAATCCATCACAGGTTGACTCAACAGGTCGAGGCGGATCCCACACACTGACACAGTGGGAGCCAATGCCAATGGAGCTGATTGGCGTGGAGCCAGAAAGCTCGCATCCCTGAATGATAAGGATGGCATGCTCGGTGCATAGGCCGAGCTCCCAAAGCCTCTGATGAACTGCGGCAACGGCTTCACTTCCACTGGACACGTACTGAAAAGTGAAGTTCCTACCGATCAGCAAAAGGCAAATCCTTCCAACAGTGGGGCAAGGGATTGGGTTGACACGACCAGCACGAAACAACCCAGGAAAAACGTTTTCCGGTGTGCGCAAGGCTTCATCCAGGTTCAATCGTATCTGGTCATCGGCACTTGGTCTAGTCATGGAAGGCGCAACGAAGCTATCCCAAATCTCGACCAAGCTGTGTCCAATAACAGATGTCGGGCAGATAGGATCACCATGATTCGCTCCAAGCTGAGACAGCTGAAGAGCGCGGCGAAGGTCAAAACTCATCTGTGTCCAGCCCTCCGGAGGAGGGATGTCCGGCTCGGATAATGGGATGTGCACAGCCATGGCGGTCACTCAGATGTGGTGCCTACTTGGTGGGGCCAGCCACGCCATACGTGGCGGCGCAGCTGAGCTAAGTGACCTTAAGCCCGTGGCTATTGATGACCATCCCTGTCACCCAAAGTTGTCTTTGACCCGCGTGGTCTGCAAACCTCACAGATTACTCCCCTCCAATTTAAAATGAAATTAATAAAATCCAGAGGCCCAGCATCAGTGGAGGAATCTCCTAGCAATTGGACCCCTTCTTGGGGTTCCATGTCATTTTGCGGAGAAGGACTGGGTCAATACCCGCCAAACGGGTACATAGTTTTTGTCGAGGGTGCCCTTTTCAGGCTGGTGTTACAGAAACACCAAACGGAAAACCCGCAAAACTTGGGGTTCCGACGCCCTATTTGACACATACCGGACACACGGTCGTCACGGAAAATTCGCCGCGTCGAAGATCCCAAAACGCGAACCGGGCTTCGAGCTCGCGAGCACCTCCTTCAGCTTCTCCACTGCTGGTGCCTGACATGGGGTCCCCAATGACCCTTGCAGCTGGGCGATCAGATGGAATCCATGGATTGTATATGTAGAGATGCGCATCTAAACAACTTAGCAACCTTTGACAAACGCAAAGTGCAAAACAATTTCAGCGACTTCACTAGAATAGGGGCAGGCCTGAATTTATCAATATCTTGCAGTTAGTGCCTTCAGAGAGTCTTGCCACTCGCGTGGCAAGGCCTGTGCCCCCGCCCCCCCACACAAGGCGGCCAATTCGGCTTCCTGTGATTTGGTTTCACTCCAAACCCACCCCACACGAAAGCGATTCCCTGAAGGTGTCCGACGTTGGATCACACCCCCTCGACCACTAACAGCCCCTTTTCTGGAAGACCAACTTAGTGGCGGTTGGTCTAAAATTCCATCCACTGTGGTCGGAGGACACGTACTACCTCAGAAAATTCAACCCACGAAGAGCCCCCCCCAGCATGCAGTCTCATGGGCAAAGTTGAATATCATCGCAGATCGAATCCTAGAATTAGGTTCATGAAAAACATGGGGAAACTTGTTTTGAATGGGGGGCGCGCAAGCTGAATTTCGCGTCTTCCTAAAATCACAAAGTGAAACCCACAAGAAACCAACCAGCCGGTGACCAAAGTTGGACCTCCCTTTAACCCTCCAGCCCTCCGCCATTTTTGGGGGGAAAACCATTTTTGGAGGTGGAACAAGTCGTAAACCGTCCCCCGGATGTTGGCTTTTGATCCCGATGTTTTTGAGGGATCGGAAGTCGTAGGCTTCGACCGGAAAAACGGGTGGCCGCGCCATGAAGTCCGTGTGGAAGGCTCCGGCCACGGCAAGAGGCACCGCCATGCGCGCCTCGGGTTTTGGAGAACCGGGCTATCATAAACATCTTAGGAAGAAACTCAGGCATCCATGCAATTTCGACTGGATAGTGACCCCCCCCTCTTCTTTTTTGAAGGCCCCCCTCCCTTTTCAGTCATTCCCGTCTTCCGGGTGGACCGCCTGATTGGGATGGGATTAGTCAGGGGTCAGCACAAGTATGGGACAAGATGCCGGCTTTAAGACCCAAAATGTCCCACTATAGCAGTAGTTTAAAATCTCACTATAACAGTACACTGACATGGGTGTGGCTCAATATATAGGGCCCTGCTGAGGCCAAACCAACAGAGAACAGTAGGAACAAGACCGCAAACTGGCGGTTTGGAACCGAACAACTTTGGTTCACAAGCGAACGAGGACTGCGCGAATTAATGTCCAGCGTCTCTCAGTCCAAGCAACAAGAATGGTTGAGATATCTCAAGAAGGTTCACTGCTGGGGGTCTGTGCCCGCATAACCAAACTCTTGTTCCGATGTCATGACGAACATCAAAAGGACACAAACCAGCCAAACAATTCGCACAAAACGGAAAGAAAGCTACCTCACACGCGACACCTGTTCTACGTTTGGGAGTAGACTGAGTAGTCCGGAAATCATCTCTCAAATCCGGGCATGTAGAATTTCAAACCCTACGTATATGTATATATGTATTAGCTCCTTGTATACATGTGTATATATATATATATATATGCTCACCCCCGTCCCATGAACTACCTTTGTAGCATAGTTTGTAGCGAAAACACTGAACACTTTTCGGTTTCACTTTGGTTAGAATCATATGTGGAAAGGAATTCCTGCTACATGTCTGAATCACCATAGACATTCAAATTCAAATATGTCCTTCTTCAGTTCTATCAAACTTCTAATGACATGTTTATTCAAATATCTAATTAAACGGAGTCTGCGTTGAAAGTATAATTTCACGGATTAATTATAATTTATGTCTTCCCTTGTTAAGCTCTATTTGTGGAAAGGGTGTCCTTTTCAAAATTATAGTTGAGGATGGAAAGTATATTGGAACTCTTGCTTTGCTCAACTCTATGTACTAGTAAATGTTAATTTAGCTTCATATGTAGAAGGGAACTTCCTGTAAATTCTCATTGGACAGAACTTCTAATGGACTTCTCTGCATTTCAAATTCCATCAACATTCTAAAAATCAATCAGAACCAAATTTGGATTAATAATCCTAATAAGCAACCTTTAACATCAGCTTTGTAAGGAGTCTTATACACAGGTTTTCAAGGAGGGTTAAAAGGAGGTTTATAATAAGCTTGAAAGAAGCTTTATAAGCTTCTTTACAAGGAATTGTACAAGGAGCTTTTAAGGAGCCTTCAACAGAGCTTGATGCGGATTTCTGTAAGGAGTCATTTGAGGAGCTTTATGCTAAGCTTTGCAGGGAGCTTTATAAGGAGCTTGTTTTTATGAAGAGTCTTTGAGGAGGCTTATACGCAGCTTTACATGTGAGCTTCAACGGGAGCTTTGCAAGCAGCCTTTTTGTACAAGGAGGAGCCTTTTTCATGAAGGAGCCTTTACATTGAGGAGCCGTTTCACAAAAGAGGGCTAGAAGCAGCTTTACAAGGAGCCTTAGTAGGAGCTTGACGACGAGCCTTATGCGGAGTGTTACAACGAGCCTAATAAGAAGTGCTACAAGGAGTGTCTAAAGGAGCTTTATCACAGCTTCAGTCAAGACTTGAAAACCAGGCGTTGAATTCTATTCTAAAATCAAACATATAATTTGATTAGGTGTTTTTGGCTTTCGCGAATTTCTACAAATGTATCAAGATGTTTTGTGTTCTGTTCTGAAAACAAACAAAAAACTGTGGGAAAACCAAACAACGAAAGGAACTTGAGGGAAAACCAAAAAACACTTTTTGACAAAACAAACACCTTGTCCTTAGGGCTTTGTTGTTTGGTTGCTTGGTTTTCTCAAGGCCTTGTTTTGGCGTTTGCTCATTGTCAAAACCAAAACACCATCGAGGTGTTGTGTTTGTACACAAACAGGCAGAACCACTCTGGGAACACAACAAGAGAAAACCAAAGATCCAAATTCAAAACTGTTGGGGCACGCTGAGCTACATCTCCTGCCTTGAACTCGGGCTTTGCGATCTCCGCCAGCTTGGCACAGGCCTCCTTGTCACCGGAGACCTGGGGCCAAGGGAAACTTAGCTTGGGTGGCTCGTCCTTTTAGGAATCGTCCCCCCCCCCAAAACGGCACAACGGTCTTCCTTTTTGGCGTCCCTTGAACACCGCAAACAGGGGTACCGTCAAGAAAGGACACCGATGTGGGAAACCCGAGGCGCAGGCGGTGTAGTTGCCCTTGCACAGGTAGTTCGCGATCTGCACCCTGTGGCGCACAACAAAAAGCCCTGGTTGCCATCCCTGACGCAGTTCCTGGTCTCTTCGGAAGTGATCAATCATGGACACCCTCACGGACAAACGAAAACAAGAAACAAACATCGTGCCAGGATGCAATCCTGAACATCGTGCTTTCCTGCACACCAACTTATCTATAGTTCTTTCTGACCCACTTTCAATCAGCCATGTTCGCACACAGCAGGCCCTTGTAAAATCCCGCTGGACACGAGGCCACACTCACACTCACGCTGCTCAACAATGTTGGACCTCACCTTTTGATTCTGAATTGCCGCGTTGATCAGCTATTTGTCCTCCAAATCATGCAAGACCACTAACCTGGGCGACCTATCAGTCATGACTTGCCAGCATCAAAACCAGCGGACCCACAAGAAATTCACCTTCATCAATGATTTGGTTGGTTTGCTTCGGCCAGCGCCAGATCCCTTTCTGAGTCCGCTTGCCCAATTTGCCTCACAGATCCCATCGAGGCCGCGCGCAAGCCGCCCGCGCGCCGAAGCCGCCGCCCCGGGCCTCTTTCCCGAGAGCTCGGAGGCCGTGGCGCAGAGCTGCTCCGTCTTCTCGCTATCTAAGCCTCTCGAGTCGAGTGGTGCCGGTGGCAGCGCCATGCAACTTGTTGGTGCACTGAAATGTGCATGCAAATAATGATTCTTAGCAGAACATGTGTGAACGTATGTGTATATATATAATATTGCTGCACCACATATATATGTATATATAACATATATATATATGTATATATATATATATGCAAATGTATACTTTCAATTTGATGGCTGCGGAGAACACACAAGTCACAAGTGGGAAACGACCCCTCCAGGTGGCTGGTTTCATGTTGGCTCCCATTGCCCCTTACCCCTACCCCCTAGTCAGCGTTCGTGCTGGGCAACTTCGAGCATCTGCTTTGCTAGTTGGCGTGCAAAACATTGGGAAACAGGACATCACAAGGCCTGGATGACGTTCGATCTTTCAGGCTTAACTTGAGCCTTCTGAAGATGATAAAACCTGATTGAAACTGGGAATCACAGGACCAACAAGGTTGTTTCGCTTTTAACCACTTTGAATATGGCTATATCGATGGGTGTACGCCCGTGTCCGGATAGCCCAAGTGAGCCCCGCGAGCTTTGGAACAAACGCACAGCGTGCGCAGCCCAAACAAGATCAGCCATTCCAAACGACAACCCTTGCTAAAACGAGACAACCAGCCAAGGCAGACCGTGTGTGCCTGTCTTCAGTTTTTTTAGGGCCGAATGTACTCGTCTATGGCTGAGTCAACCCTGAAGAATGGCATACTTGATGGAAACCACCACCGTGAACGCCGTTTAGGCATGCATTTTAGCTTTGAAGTTCAAAGTGCTAAATGTCAATCGAGAAATTCGGCGGATCCCCGATGCAGACCTGGGGGACCTGGGAGACTTGTAGCTACCGTGCCTAATCCAACGCAGCTTCGCTTCCCGTCGGTCGCGCCTACCACGCTGACCATGCCCGAGGCCGCCGCATCCGCGGCGGCCTGCATCGCCTCGCCTGGCCCCAGGAAACCCGTGTGAGTTTCTCTGATAGAAACCAACCAATGGTCAAACCCGATTCTGTTATTTTAAAAGACAGATTGGCTTTTTGAGAAACACCCATATCTAATGCTTCTTTGCTTTTTTGGGGACCGACTATTTGTTTGTGCTGGACAATCATATGGCATGTCTGAAACCAACAGAGACCCCAACTCCGGAGCTTGCTGAGCTCTGATGAATTCCACAATGTGGCGTGTTTTTGTTCCGTGCGTGGCTCTCGTGTTTGCGTGCTTGTTTTTGTGCTTTTTGTTTGCGTGTGTGTGCGTGTGTTGTGTGTGTGCGTGTGTGCGTGGATGCCTGTGCGTCTCTGTGTCGGGTGTGGTTATCTCTGCTCCCCCCCCCTCCCGCTCTCTCTCGCTCTCTCTCAACTTGATTCATGGGCCGTTCTGGAAATCAGCTTGGACAGCATCATGCCTTGAAAGCATAAATAGAACATTCACTCTCGTAACTAGTTGCGGGTTGAAGGTGGTAACCATCAAGGACGATTCCAAGCTTGAACTGCCTAGGACACATGGCAAACACCATTGCATGAAACAGCAGCCCTTCAGTCCAATTGCGGCAAAGCATATCAAGAAGCATTGCGAGAGGTGGTCCGTTTTGTCAATTGGCTGTGGGTCAAAACCAATAGTTCCATTTGCGGAAGGTGCACCACCCATTTTAGGCTATTCTAGTGGGGATTGGGATGTTCACTGAGGTTACGGGCTTTTGACCCATGGCCAGTTGACGCATTGACCCCATCTGTCCTGCTAACGTGGTCTCCCCGCCCCACACAAATGCAAAGAATTGACAGGCGGCTGCAGCAAGCTTTGGCAGGTCCCCCGCAAACCTTCAACCACCCAAGTTTTGACCGGGATCAGTTTTGCAAACATCGTGGCAGCGCCCCAGACCGGCTCCCAAACTACCCAGCCTCGGACCTTGGTAATCTTCACTCCGTCCAGGAAGCCTCGATTCGGTCCGGGCTTGCTTTCGCGTCGTTCATGGCCCATGGCTGTAGCAAAAACTGGGAAAACTGGGACTCCTTGGTTTGAAACCATGAAACTGAGGGGTGCAGTTTCTGCTGATGGGGGTTGAAGATCCTGACGACCACCGTCCCGTAGTCCTTACATGCGGTTTCAATTTCACCACTGGAGAAAAAGCGGCATTGTCTGGGAATCAGCTGCATTTGCGGACCCTTTGGTGGACATGTTTTCCGTAGGGTTCATGTCAATGTTCATACCCACCTTGGAACAGAACACAGCCTTGGCAACTTCACTTAGAATGGGCAGTCACCAGTGGGAAACCGGGGCTATTGTCAAGGCTCGGCCCTGCGACTTTCAGCACAGCCTCAGGGATAACAATGGAGTGTCCTGGCAGCGAACGTGTATTGTGATCAAATACAAGGACACCAATGGAACAACGACTCGGTGGTCTGATGGTGATGTGAAAAAAATAAAACAAAGCCAGAAAGCCGCCAAAAGCCATAGAAACCTGCAAATAACAGCAACCGCCAGCCCAAAGAAAACAAAGCCAATCCCCCCCTCAACAACAAAACACGAGAAACCAATGGCCTTCAAATCCAAACCATACGGATTCAGAAATCCACACAATTGGGAATGTATGTAGCCCCATCGTTGGCCCCCTTGGGAGCAACATGCTCTTGGCTGCGCTTTTGAATGGCTTTCTCGTCTGCTCGAAAGCCGGTCCAGTGCAGCTGCGCGCGGGAGAGTGGCATCTTTGGTCCACACCCAGGCCAAAACCATTTTGCCGAGGCTCAGCGACTCGGATGCAAATGGAAAGTCAAATGGCTCTGGACCCAAGGCTTCGAAGTAGGCCTAGCTGCCTACCCGAAGAAAAGGTCTGCATAAAGCGGGAACTGCTTGCCGCGGATACATCACTTCCAGAGCCAATAGCCAAACCCGCCGACACTGAGATTGACTGCCGTACCAAAGCCCGGCATTTGTTCCAATGTGGTTGGTTCACTTGCATTCGTTCGAAACTCGGAGGGGAACGTCACATGAAAATTGACATAGAACTCAGTCGTCAACTTGTGACCTGCTGAGTTGACTGGCCAAACCAAGATCAAGCTTGAGCCCGGACTAAACTGAAGAAAACTGCCAACAAGCAGTTTCAATTTTTGCTATATCAACACGTTTCGGGGATGTGGTCGCTACCGGCTCCGCCCCTTTTCGGATGCCGAGTCGGCACCGGACTTTCCAGCTCACAGCTCTGATGCGCGGCCTTCGCCCTGAGATGGAGGCCGACATGTGCGCCATTTATAAAGGAACCCCAAGCAGCCAACCTCTACTAAGGAGATCCAAGAAGAGACAATCCAACCTACTCACTCCCCCAAACTTTGTGAAGCACTACCCCCCAGCAGCAAACACGGCCAAGTTCGGGTCCGGAATGGGGCTGCTGTGAAATCACAGGCAAGTGTACTCGCTTTTGAAAGCAGGTCTCGCCATTTCCGAGTCGTTTGCCATGGCTGCGTTCAGCACCAGTGGGGCAACCATTGTGGCAACCATTGTGGCAACCATTGTGGCAACCATTGTGGCAACCGTAGCAGACTTCGTAGTCTTATTAAGAAATCGCAGGCTTGCTAAAAGACTGGCGTCGACCCATCCGAGTTGAGCGTGCGACTGATCTGGAACACATGGTAAACATAGCAGCTAAGTCGTTGGCAAGCTATTCTAGAACCGGGGCATCACCTGCTTGTTGTGTTCAAAGGCCTGAACGCAGAACCAGCACACAGGAACAAAGCTTGCCTTGTCTCGCTTGCTGACAAGTTGTCGCTCGTCGTCCCACACAGACAAAAAATCGGGATCTACCCGTGGACGCACACACCACCGGCTGTAAAGTGTGTGACTGGCAGGCTGGAGACCGAGCTTTCAAGCAGATCTTGGAATCTCAACATCAGCGCGACGGTCGGTCTTCCAAAACGCCGGGACCCCTCAAAGATGCTGATGTTTTCTCGTGGTTTTCCTTGAAGCCCTGGGCAAAAGCGAGTCCCATTCAAGAACACTCCGGGAAAGAAGATCTTTGATAGTCACGCAAGCCATGATCAGTTGGTTGGCATTAGCAATTCAATAGTGCAAGCAATATCCTAGCGTTCTGGTCTCCCTCGCCTTTTTTGAAAGCGGCAGACATTTTCGCCGGAGGTGCTCGCCAGTCCCCGCGCCTCGTGCTCGCCCAATGCCCGGATGATGATGCCCCTCAGCGGCAGCTGGGCGCCTGTCAGCGAGGAACCCCAAAAAGAGATCCATCGGCCAGCTTTGTGACGCCACACCTTCCTGGTGTCTTCCTTTTTGGCTGGCGCTCCGTGCTCTCAAATCACCGGGTCATGGGATCCACATTTTTCAGCCACACACCAATCGCACCAAAGGCGACGCCCCGGTCACGAAACGCGGTGGACAAAACGCTAGAAAGGTCGAAGCTTGTTGCTGCAGGATCTTGATGCAGAGCAAGCTTTCACACAAGGTGTGAGCACATGTTTCACAAACGCCAGGATTCCAGCCGAATCAAGCACTGCATTGTATCAACTCAGTGAACATCGACTGAGCGTTTCCCTAACTAGTGCAAGATGGGCCAGTTGTCACGCTTAGCTTCAGGGACAAACGATCCCCTCAAGAGGCCTCTTTCATCACTGCCTTACGACTCTCAAAGCCTGATCCGCAACTACCGAGAGAGTGACATTGAAAGGCTTCCCACCAATCAAGAACTCGACTTTGAAGCGGCACAGTTGTGTAAAGTATGTTCGGCACCAAGTATCCAGAGAACTACCCGAGGTGTGAGAAACCTTGAAATGGCATCGCTATGTGGCTATACGTTGCAAATACGCTAAGCTTTCGACGACACTGCAGCTCATGAGCCCAGACAAAGCAGCAAACAGCCGTGTTGGCAAGGGATGTGCCCCGTGACAAATTCCCGGAACCCCCCAGCCCGCCTGTCTCCTCAATGTCATGCCATGCATCTGCCAGCTCCTCTCAGGCAATCGACAAAAAGTCTGTTGGCACTGGGCGAAGGGACAAACCTCATTGTGTGAGGCCTGGAGTCCTTTCAAGCTCCCCAACCAGGCAGTTTGTTATGCCTAGCCTCGTCCACGGAGAGGATCGCAAAGCTTTGTGAGCATGGCTCATGGAGGTTGATCCAACTCAAGCTTATGCTTGGTCTGGGCAGCATATTGCTGCACATCATATCTTTGGGGGCATTCATCAGTCACTGCACCAAAGGGAAGCAATTATGGACCCCAAAAAAGGCAACGTGTCAAAGTAGTTTGCCACATGTCTGGCAGTGCTTGGCACGTTTTTTTGTTGGTGCCGTTTAAATTTCTGGCCGCCCCCTCAACCGCATCCCTCCTGAAAGGTCGCCTGGTGGTCGCCGTCCTTGTCCGCCAGCAGGAGAATCTGAATCGAAGTCCGGGGCCCTTCCCTCCCCAGGCAGTTCCGCCTTTCCATAGGGCAAACAAAATCCGTTTGGTAGCCAGGCTGGTAATTCATGGTGATCCTTGGCAGACCCGCGCATGCAAGTTCCGAATGATGGTGATTCGTCTCACATGGAAGGCTGTCTACGGCGCTCGCGACGAAGACATTGAAACTTGTGGTGCTTTGAAGACCTCCTTCCTCTGAGCTAGCAACACAAAGGGGATGGAGGCGCAACTCGGGGTCGGAATCACAACACAAACAGGCTCCCAGTGTTGGGATGAACGAAGGATTCTCCGCAATCTGCAAAGGATCTGCAAGAGAAAGATGGGACCTACAATGGACCTACAGAAGACCTATGCAAAGCATGAATGTCCCGCCCCTGTGCTTATCCGCCCCTTTCGCTTCTTCTTAAGACGTCAGCAGCTGCAGCTGTGTCAAAAGCTGCTGCAAAAAGCCACTCAGCAGATGTAGTCCTACAGCCATTCGACAATCACCTCTGGGTCACTGTTGGCCCTTTTCCAACCTGGACTGATTCTATCACAGCTCGCATTTCAATAAGACAAAGTCAAGATAGGCAATGACTGTAAGAGAAACGACACTCACATTGGGTTGACAGCCCCAAACTATCCAAAGTAGCCTTGTGACCAATGAATGTGCTCGACTGAACAGTCAGACATACCCAATCACCAGGCGGAAACAACCCCCCCCATCCCCAGTGAAAACACCGACATACCGATAGAAGTAGATGGTGTTGCAGCGTTGAGATAGCAAATATTCCTTCCCCGCCCCAACACAGATGTTCATGGCTCTCTTGCCAGGTTGTCCACTCTTCATGGGAGTGATCAGCATTCTCCAAGGCATCTTCAATCAGAGATAAGACGAGCTTCTAAAGACCTCGGTCCCAGAGCGGAACCTTTGTTCCAGTGAGCGCAAACAAAAGGAAAACATTCGCAAATGATTGGTTTATATTGGTTTCCATTTCATTTGTCTCCCTTTCAACCGCAGATCATGCACCAACGAACAAGAGATGCCTAACTTCCGAGAAACATCATTCTGATGTTCCAAGCTCGGAGGCAGGCTCTCCATGGAGGTTCCCGGTCCAACCGTCCGCCTTGTCAACTGCCTCCTCCATGAAGTAGAAGCCGCCCTCCCAAATCATCAGCTCCTGCAGGTCTATGAGCCCGTCGCCATTGCCTCGGCGAGGAGTTGCCCCGATTTCTGCGCCCATCTTTTGAGGGGCAACCGTTCCGCCAAGAGTGAATCTCCCAAAGCCACTTCTCTTCACAAAAAGTTGGAATCCCAAAGAAATCCATGGGTAAGTTTGGAGCTCTCGGGGCATCCCCTTGGTGTCTAAGGGATCCGGCTACCTCTGAGCTCCATCAGTTTGGACACTGTCAGAGATGTCGAATCTGTAAAGTCCGTGACATTACACTCCCGTCAAACATGGAACCCACCGGGCCGCTTGAGGGAGCCCTCCCGGCAGGTTCGTTTTTCAGTAAATGGAAGGATATGTATGCGTGGTTCAAGGCTTCATTCGCCTCCCTTCAATGTCTCAACTGAACACAGCCCCACACAGCACTCACATCAAATGCTTCTAGGATTCTAGCATTTGTGGCGAGAAAGGCCCCATGGTTCTACCTCTTGTTGTGCACCTCACACGTAGCTCTTCATAAAACTTCTCGGCCTTCTTTTCAAGGCGCCATCGAGGTTGGTGAAGGTGACGTTCTTATCCCGGGGGTCCTCATCGTGATCATCATCCTCTTCTGGTCTCAGGTAATCGTAGAAGAACTCCTGCCACTGAACTTTGATTGGGAGCCAGGCCAAAATTTCTGTCGGTGTATGTCACCCAAGTGAATTTCGTTACGTTCCAACAGAAGCTAAGCCAGCTTTCCAAATCAGCCAACTTCGTAAATGGGTCCGATGGGGTGCCTGATTTCAAACATCTAGCTATGTGGTGGGCACGGTGCCTGCTCGCGAGCTCAGCCAGAATGTGCTATTCTGCAAGTTCTGACGAGGCAATTGCCCGGCATGTGTTGCAAACCCAATCATTGAGTCGGCAGAACAGAAACAAGAGCCGCGGCCATGTGTTTGATGGCTCGCCTTCCTGCTCTTGGCTCTTTCAGGCAATCTAGTCAGCCCACCAGTGCAATGGAAGGGCCCCAGGAAGTACCGAATGATGAAGTATGTAGCAACCCATGAAATTTGTGTGTGTTTGTGTGTGCGTACGTGTGTGTGTGTGTGTCTGTATGTACATGTGCCTGTGCCGGCCTGAGACGATTCAAAGGAAACATGAGTCTTTGTCAATCTGCTTTCGTGGCTCCACGGTCTTGTCATTTTTCAGCGATGTCCGTTTTCGTTTGTCTGTGTCTGCCTATTGTTCTTTGGCCGCTCAATGCAACTCAGTCGGAAACAAGTCATGCGCGCCATCGTTCGCACGCCGCAGATCAAGAGACCCCCCCAAACCTCAGCTCCCGCCTTCAGATTCAGCTTCCCATCCTGTGCGGCTCGAACATGCAACTCTTTGCCCAATGCAAGCTCCGGCCTTGAACCGGATGCGCAGAAACCCCGAGTGGTCGATTCAGAAGTTTCACACAGACTCACAAGACATCCTCTTACTGGCAAGCTTAGGCTGCCACAGTGTACTTAGGAAACCCAAACGATTGCAAGGCTGGCATCGGAAAACCGATACTATCTTGCCACACTCATGATTGTCCGTCAAGCACAATAGGTTGAGTCTTGCCGCATTTGTGTCTGGATGGCATTTCGTCTGAATTCGTTCCTACCAAACTGCTATCTCTCCTCGGTGTTGAATCTTGACTTTTTAGACACTGGCTTCCTTAAACTCCAAAGAACACTGAAATTGGAAACCCTGCGACGCGCGTTTTCACGTCTTTCCGTTTAGCTCCACGAAGCGATTGCCGAAGCGAATGCGTTTGGCTCCCCTGTCCTTGTCCAGGTCCTTACTCTTCAGAGCATCCTTTGCCTCAACCTCCAAGACCTGCGCTCAACGCAGCGGACTGGAGGGGCCGTTGAAAAACCCGGCGAGAGGGACCCGCTTGAGTATGACAGATACGAGGATCCGCTTTCAACCAAACTGGGACCCCCCAACATTTGGGTTCTAATGGCTAGGATGCCACACACATGCTTGTCCTTTGGTGCAAGCGATCAGAACCCGTTTATTAGAACCCGTTTAGGATCCCAAAAATAAAGCCTCTTGATTCCGGCAACAAGATCAAACATAAATGCGCGTGGTTCACCGCAGGCAAGCTCGTGGAAGCATACATCTCTAAACAGACATACCCAAATCAGGTTACAAATGGGTTTTGAGTGGTTGTACGGGGACAAACCCCTCACATCATGATGGTTGTACAATTCACTTAGTTCAGGTATGTAAGAAGGACCTTAGAGTGTAATTCACAAGCTGGATCCATTGCACATTACATACCCTTTGAAGCCTTCAAACACAGATCTGACTTCGCCACGCTGACTGCGGAATGCGCCGCGGCGTCTCGGTCCAAACACAGATTCTAACACCTTTGCTTCGACACGGGTCGCAGCTTCATGTTTTTTCATCCAGTCCAGGGAACATGCGATCACCCTTGTAGTCGCACTCACTGTGCCACTCTGATGCACAGCCCCATGGCCCTTCCCGCGCAAAGCGCTGCCTCGCCTTTTCATTGATTCCATGGCCGTACATGTTGATGAGCTCCTGTCTAGACCAACCCCAGACAAACCCTGAACAAGCCCCCTCAAACCCCAAACACACCCCAACACACCCCACACCAACCCCAAACAAACCGCAAACCACCCCCAAACAATCCCTGAACAAGACCCCAAACAACTCCCCAAACTAACCCAACAACCCCCAACCAAACGCCAAACAACCCCCAAACAAACCCCAACCACACCCCAAGCCAACCCCAGGGCACAACCGACCTTTGTTCCCCCAGTTGGAGACAAATTCAGCAGGGGTCCAACTAGATGTCCAACCAAATGAAACGTCACCGCGCAATGGGGGCAAGCAACAAGTGATGTTACATGTTCAAAACTCAAACCGCAGACATGCATGAGGGTTCACAGATTGCTGAACCACGCGTTAGGATTCTGGGGCCCACAATTGTGATGCCGTTTCCAGGATGGGTCAAGTTCAAAAAATAATGAGGCCAAAATCTCTTTGTGAGACTACTTGGCAACGGAAGGCAGACCTTCCCTTCGATCTGGGGAATCGAAGGTCCCACTGCTGACGCAAGAGCAGAGTGCAAACAGGAACGCCGTCTTGTTGGGTGCTCCTTTCTTTCTTGCCTTGAAGAACCGACAAGGGGTCTGTCTGTTTTGAGGGTACACCTTTCAGGGTTGTTTAAACGGAATTAAAAGGGAAATCACATATCTTTTGGGCCTGTTGGGAAACACACCCACAACATCGTAGTCTCATTGCTTGGCAATATGGCCATGCTCAAAATCACATGTGACAAAGGGATGAATCTATAAAGTTTCTTTTGCAAGCCTGAAACATGGAACCCACTGAACCCGTGGCTGAACTCCAGACAAATCTCCCTAAACCGACATGACTTCTCATGTGTCACGTCAACACAGCGGCGCAAGCAAATACCTGCAAATCATACACCTGCACAACTTGACCCAACATGCAGCCTCGCCCTCCAGCTTGCCGTTGTTGTCAGCGTCTGCGACCTTGAACTTTGCCTGCAAAAAGTTCAGGCAAAGTTGAAATCCAGCCAAGGGGCACTTTCAACCTCGTCGAATGCTTAGAAAGACGATTCACTCACTGCGCGCATGGGACCAGGAATGTCTGAGTCTTTGGCAGGACAAGCTGTTTTGGACTCTGAAACTTGTGCAGCTGCATCTTTTCAGCACCAACAAGAGGTTCCTGCGCGGGATTCTGACCACAGCCTGTGGGCCCTGAAGCCAACTCAAGTCGCACACATCCTGTCAGCCCTAAGTTGTCCCCACATCCCACGCGACGCGAGACAAGGCCTTCTCGAGTTCTCGGACCCTCTCGAGCTCTTGCGGGTAGCCCTCAATCTCCCACCTCAAGGCGACCGGGCTTGCATGCGCGCTGTGCATCCGTGCATGCGTGCGTGTGGCTGGCGAGAGAGTGCCAAAGGGAACGGTGCTATATTTGGGGCTCTACAATTCCCCATTAAACGCCACATATCTTGCAAGGTCAAAGTCGCATGTCTGGGGTTGCCTTTTGACCCACAGCATCTGCCTGTTTTCTCCACAACCCATCCTTTCAGCAGCCCAGTGCAAAGAGGAAACCATTGGGGCAATCTTAGAAGACTCTGGGAGAACCCTGCTTTGCATGGCACTCCTTTGCCCAAAGGGGAATCCTGATGGCGGGGTGAGCCTCAAACCCCAAACTTCTTGTTGCCAACAACCTTGCTTCTCACCCTGATCCCATATTTTTCCATTGTACAATCCTGGAATTGACAGGTGGGAAGACTGTCCGTTTCGAGGCGTAAACATGGCCGCATTGACCCCCAGAAACCATTCCCCGGCCCCCAATGGCCATGGCCATTTTGGGCCCAAGGGGCGTCTCTAAATGCTTCTCGAGCTCCGCGAAGCTCAGGGCTCCGTCCTTGTGCAGTTCTACCCCTGTAGCTCACAGGCCTTGGACCGTGTCCAACGAAAAGGGGACCATTTCTGAAATTCGACGGGGGTTCCCTAAAAGGGACTCTCGGTGAAATTTCATGTTACTGGGGAGGAAGGGAGAATAGCATAAGGTTATTTCACCTAATCATGCACAAGGGCAGGGGAGCGCACTGCAGGAAGACCCAATTGTCACCACTGGGCTAAACTCTTGGCTGGGCCACTCGACGGGTTGCCTGTGGGCATCCCTTTTTCGTTGGCCCAGTGCGGTGACGGGTTTTCAAATCGAAAGGGGTCCGATTGCAAGGCTCCAATCGCACGTCGTCATAGATGGGATACTCAGTAGGGCAAATCCTTAATAACACCGCAGGGGCGCAACGCCGCGCAAAGGAAGAAGGCCAAAGGCACCTTGATTGGACAACTTCAACGTATAATGTCACCTACAGGGTTCCAGACTCTTTCATCACCTCCAAATAGAGAAAAGAACAGCATAGTCAAGCAAGGTAGGTTGCTCCAGCACTTTGCATACTCTCCACAAACACACAACCAGCCCAACAAGCCCAACATGCACTAAGACAGAACCCCAAAAGGGTCCAGAAGCTGATTTCGGGGGTTCCTAAACTGTCTCTGCTAGAGTAGCTTTTGGCCCATGTCAGCATCTCGTCTCCGACCTATGTCTCACTACGCAAGTGCCCAAGCCAAACCAAAAACGCAGCGCCACCAAACAATCCAATGTGTGTGTGGGTGGGTGTGTCAGTGTCTGCGTGTCCACACGTCTGCACGGGCGCACGTGCGCGAGTGTGCACGTGTGCGAGTGCGGGCGTGTGCGCGAGTGCGAATGTGCGCGTGTGCGCGTGGGGGCGTGCGCGAGTGTGCGCGTGTGCGAGTGAGCGCGTGTGTGCGCGCGCGTGCGCGTGGGCCGCGTGGGCGGGTGTGCGAGTGTGTGCGTTTGCGCGTGGGGGCGCGCGCGAGAGTGCGCGCGTGTGCGAGCAGGTGCGCACGTGTGAGTGCGCGAGTGTGCCCGTGGGGGCGTGTGCGCGTGTGCCTGTGCACAAGTGGGCGCGTGCGCGGGAGCGCGCGCGCGCGGGCGCGGGCGCCTGCGCGGCGCTCGCGCGCGTGCGCGCGCGCGTGTGCGTGCGCGTGTGTGCGCGTGCGCGTGTGCGTGCGCGTGCGCCGCGCGTGCGCGTGCGCGTGCGCGTGCGCGTGTGCGCGTGCGCGTGCGCGCGCGCGCGTGCGCGTGCGCGTGCGCTGTGTGTGTGTGTGTGTGTGTGTGTGTGTGTGTGTGTGTGTGTGTGTGTGTGTGTGTGTGTGTGTGTGTGTGTGTGTGTGTGTATGTGTGTGTGTGTGTGTGTGTGCGTGTGCGTGCATGAGTGTGGCTATGGGTGTGAGTGTGGGTGCGTGACGTGGGTGTGTGTGGTGTGTGTGTGTGTGCTGTGTGTGTGTGTGTGTGTGTTGTGCGTTGTGTGTTTGTATTGTGTGTTGTGTGTGTGTGTTATGTGTGTGTTGTGTGTTGTGTGTGTGTGTTGTGTTGTGTGCTGCGTGTTGTGTGTTGTGTGTTGTGTGATGTGTGTGTTGTGTGTTGTGTGTTGTGTGTTGTGTGTTGCGTGTTGTGTGGTGTGTGGTGTGTGGTGTGTGGTGTGTGGTGTGTGGTGTGTGGGTGTGGGTGTGTGTGTGTGAGTGTTTGTGTTTGTGTTTGTGTTTGTGTTTGTGTTTGTGTTTGTGTTTGTGTTTGCGTGTGTGTGTGTTTGTGTTCGTGTTTGTGTTTGTGTTTGTATTTGTGATTGTGTTTGTGTTTGTGCATGCGTGCGTGCGTGTGTGTGTGTGGGTGCGGGTGTGTGTGTGTGTGTGTGCGTGTGCGTGTGCGTGTGCGTGTGCGTGTGTGTGTGTGTGTGTGTGTGTTTGTGTGGGTCCGTGCGTGCGTCCGTGCGTGTGTGCGCGTGTGTGCGTGCGCGTGCGCGTGCGAGTGCGAGTGCGCGTGTGCGTGTGCGTGCGCGTGCGCGTGCGCCTGCGCCTGTGCCTGTGCACGTGTGCGTGCGCGCGCGCGCGTGCGCGTGCGCGTGTGCGTGTGGGTGTGTGGGTGTGGGTGTGGGTGTGTGTGTGTGTGTTTTGTTTTGAAGGGTACCCTTGTAGAGGGTGCTTTTTCTGGGGAAACTAATTGGAAACCAACTATTTTTGGTGGTCCCTCTATTTGGACACCTACCATGGTCCTTGTCCAGGTCCACATCTGGCTGCAACTTTTCGTGCTGGCTGCGCTCAATCTCCTCCCGGTAGTGCGCCTCGTTTGTTGCACGCCCGGCCGCTGGCAATAGAGATGCAAGTCACCAGCTGCAAGGAGTCAACTGTTTCTGGCGGGGCCCGTGATTCTTTGCATTTGCAATTCTTAGCCTAACATTGTGGCCAAATCATGTGCGAAATGGTTCTGTGCCTGTGTGCCTGCCTTCCTGTCTGCCTGCCTGCGAGCTGTGCCCTGTTTCCAGCCCTATCAATCCTCTATTGACCCTAATTCCTAAATACCTACAAGGTGGTTCTGCGTGATAGACAACTTAGGAGGAGAAATGTTTCTGAATTGGGGGGTGCCAACCAAACGGAAGCCAATAATTTCCTGGCGCTCCCTTGTTTAGAAAACACCCACATAGCACGCTCAGCAGCGTGCAGACTCTTCTTTTGTCTGCGAACACTCAGCCGCGAGGTGACCTGCGGTTTGCCAACAGAGAACAAGCGGCGCCCAAACGAAAACCCTCGAAACTCCCAGTGACAAACATGGAAGTGCACAGGCTTCCTTCCTGAAAAAGACTGCAGTCTTCCCGAAGTGGTGCGGTGGCGGATGGTAAGACTTTAAAGTCTAAAGCAACTTTTGCTTGGCCGTTTCGAGCAGGGAACCAACCAGGAGAAACCAGCGACCACCTGGGTCTCCGCGCGCAAAAATTGAAGAACTCCTCAGTTGGCAATGTGGTGCAGTTGTGACTCTGACACATACCGCTCACTGGTATTTGCCCACAAATTCTTGAAGCGGATTGTAAACATCCGCGCAAAAACGGGCACAGCCATTCGATGGCCAATGGCAAAATGCTCCAAAAAGAAATGCTCCACAAGCCATTTTCAGTTGCCAAACGAGTTGTTCAATGTTGCATGAGCCAGCCATCGCACACTTCTTGAATGAATATTCCTGAGTCATGGCTTAACTATCTGTAAGACTGACACTTCATTCTCCGGAACAGTCGGTAGAGATTCCCGTGCAGCAAGGTGTCTAGTTTGCTCAGCTTGCCGTTCTCATCGCCATCGGCCTGAAGGAAGATATACCTGTGGACGGTCTAGCACAAAAGAAAAGAAGCTGTATCTGCCCGCAGGATACTGTCTTGCCCCACACTTCCAAAAATAATCGAAATGTCGAGAGTAAGAATAATCAAAGACAACACAGTATGTCTTTATAATGTATTTGTGTGGCAACATCATTGGCCAGAGTGTTTTCATCACTCAAACACTGGTGAACTCGTCCATCTTTGAGGAGTATAGAACTGGTCAACAATTCCACCGTCTTGAAACAATCGGTCAAGTCGCCTGCCAAGTAATTGGCCTCCTTAGTCGAGGTGAGTACCGAGATATGCAATGCGTGTGGCCAGCAAAATGGGTGTCAAGAATTGTCGAGATCCGCTCTGTGGATCCGCTCAATGAAGCCACCAGCCAAGAGGCACGGATGATCAGAAGCCAAACCATGTTTCTCCCTTTGTGCTTGGTGGGTTGCTTGGTTGAACGCATCCTTCAAATACTGAAAACATGTTTGTCGGGTGGTGGAGAATTCTGCAGCGCAAAGTCATATCCTGGAGCTGTTTGCCAGGGAAGGGACAAAAGCCATGGCTGCCATAAGCAACCCACTTTACCATCCCATACACTGCAGCATGGCACAAGACTGGGGAGTCGGACCCATTTCTAGCCGTACTTCAACGGTGCCTCTTGCCTATCAAAGGCTGTTGGTTCGGAACAAGCATCATGCAATCAACATATTTTCTATTTTGGAACCCAACCCTTTCCCTGTGCGCAGCGCCCAAGCTATAAACAAAACAACCAGGGCGCCGCTGACACGAGGCATTTCAAATGCCCAACCACCGACATCATTTAATTTTTTCTAAGGGGGTCGAGGAACCCACTGGAAGCCAATGTTCAGACAGGGCTGCCACAGGTCTGGCTTGGTGAGGTCGGTGAGGGGGGAGAGTCTCAAGTCCTGGAACCCGGGCAGTTGAGGTGGGGGGTTGGGAGGAGTTGACGTCAGTTTCGTGGACGTGTTTTGTAGCGTTTGATCCACTCACCCCAACCTTCCATGTGGCAACCATTGAACGATGTGAAGTCATTGACCATCAGGCTGGGCATGTCACTGAACAGTGATGCTGGACGTGTTGACCAGTGGGTTGTGTCTTGAGCACTGGAGGCTGGTGGTGATGACTTCCGTGCTTATTTGCTGCTGTCAGCTTACTGCCCAAAGGTGTGCCTTCAATTCTCCCAAGTTTTCTAGTGCTGGGGGGGCTCTGAGAAAGAGGCATCATTCCGACTTTGAGTTGCCTGACCATTTGCAACAACGGGATGAATCCCGTTCCGGAAGTAGCGAGCAGAAAGTGATGTAGCTATTGCTATTCATGTACAGAAAATGATGTACTGAACTCCTGTCTCTATTCCGAGCTGCTTCAGGTTCCTTCGTGGGCATCTCGCAACTGCGCTGACCATGCCATTTGTTTGCAAAGGTTTCTACTTGCAGCTTGGCAACGAAAAGGCGGATCCCCATCGAACAAAGTGAAGGTAGCGGTG